CCCCAAAACCCCAAAACCCCAAAACCCCAAAACCCCAAAAACTATTTGAAGAGTGGAATATTGAAGTATAATATAAATTTTAAAATGAACTCACAAATTGCTGATAAAAATAATGATCTAATCCAGTCTACTAAAGCTATTGGACTTGAAAACTTGGGGGTGTATCCAGACACTATTTGTAGAAGTGCAAAGCCAAGGCCAAAGAGGTTAAGCCTTGATCTCCAGATGACCAAGAAGTGGAAAAGCAGGTCTTGACAAGTGAAGTTTAAATTGGATGAGCACTATGATGTTATTAAGACATTGGGATCGGGCACTTATGCTTCAGTCAAGCTTGCCACTTGTCTGAATGATAATAAACAAGTCGCTGTTAAGATTTCAAGAAGAATTAACTCTTGTGAAAAACTAGCCAGCGAGTATAAAATCCTCTCAGAACTCGACCACGACTGTATCATCAAGCCACTCAAATTCATCACAAACGAGATGAAGCAAGAAGCTTACTTGGTTTTGGAGTATTTTGAAGGCACCGACCTTAAAGAATTCGTTCAACAGAATGGTCCACTTTCAGTTGAAGACACTCTCAAAGTGGTACATCAGCTGTCATCATGAGTTGCCTACTTACACAGTAAGGGTGTCGCTCACAGAGATATTAAGCCAGAAAATGTTTTAATCGATGCCGATCTGAATATCAAGCTGATCGATTTCAATATCTCCAAAAAGATGAAGTCTGGCAGCATTGAAGATGGGTGAAAATTCAGTTCGGTATTTTACACCCAGATATCATCTCCACTGTATGCAGCTCCAGAGATCAAGGAGAATTTGTTGTATACAGAGAGTGTCGATATCTGGGGGATCGGCATCATCATGTTCACATGCATTTATGGATGCTCAAAGTCAAAGTGAAATTACAGCAAGGCTTTTGACCAAAACCGAATGAAAGAAACCGTCGAATTTGATTCACTACTACATGACCAGGTCAAAGACTTGCTCTCCAAAATGTTGTGAGAGGATCCTCAGCTTAGATTAACAGCTGATGAGATCCTCTCCAACGATTCCTTAATAACACCTTTATCATAAAAAGATTTCTATAATAAAACCATTGACAGGGAATTTAAATTTTTTACTTTTAATGAAGTTTCTTGGCTAAAGTTTCCGTTAAATTTTATTTCAAATTTCAAAAACAATTTATGTTTACTTTAACTTCACAGGAGCTATTTTTATTCATCCTCATGATTTCCTATATAAACGATTGTATCAAGCCAAATGTGTAGGGTTTTGGTAGATAAATTAATATTTTCGAGAATTTTTATTGAAACTGTCAAAAATTCATAGACGATTTGGTGCAGTAAACTCATTTGCTGAGTATAAATCATCAATATTAAAATTGTAAGTCCATCAAAGTTTATCTAAGAAGCCAAGGTCATTAATCCTCCACCAAGAAATCTGAAACAAGGATACTGATTTTACATGACAGTATTATCTATAAACCAGCTAGATTATTTTATCGAGAAAGTTGCTAAAATAAAGCATTAACTTGATATAAATTGGTGTAGTAAAAACCCTCTTGTCCTGCTACATGTCCAACACCATAATACCCTGAATCTTATTGGAGTGTATAATTCTTATAACTAATCACAGCCGGTATGGGCTGATTCTGTGCAGGATTGCTAACCACTTTAATTCACCAGTTTGCTTGATAATATGTTGACGATTATTATTAGCATATAAGTCTATCAAACTCATTAGTTTTAAATTATTGACTATTTAATCTCATGGACTCTCGAATTTATCTGAATATCTCCTCCAAAAGTTCAATGATGACTCTCTAATATTTCTTTATTCACGGGGCTTCATTTTCCAAATTTTGATGAAACACATTTTATAAAATCTGAGATTCTCCTAATTTCCTAAAAATTCTAAAATAATCTCTGCATGCACAAAGCCCTTACCACAACCATCCGCCACCTCCTAACTTCCTTCTATACCTACCCTACCTTCCACTATCTCTTACTTCATGCTCAGATGTAATCCCCTAATCTCGCATACCCCCTACCCTTCCTTCCTTTACTCTACCCCCTCCACCCCCATTCCGCTCAATCTACCAATTTCCTCCTCTCCTCACCAAAACGTCCATTTTCTTTATAAATCCCAAGTTCAGCCTAGCCACAGTTCTATGGGGTTTTGGGGTTTTGGGGTTTTGGGG